CTAGTTTGATTTTTGAATTCTAGGAGTACTTTGAATTAGTGATTTTAAGACTAGTTTGAATATGGAATTTAGGACTAGTTTGAATTATATTTGATATTCTTGAACTTGAACTTGAACTTGAACTTGAACTTGAACTTGAACTTGAACTTGAACTTGAACTTGAACTTGAACTTGAACTTGAACTTGAACTTGAACTTGAACTTGAACTTGAACTTGAACTTGAACTTGAACTTGAACTTGAACTTGAACTTGAACTTGAACTTGAACTTGAACTTGAACTTGAACTTGAACTTGAACTTGAACTTGAACTTGAACTTGAACTTGAACTTGAACTTGAACTTGAACTTGAACTTGAACTTGAACTTGAACTTGAACTTGAACTTGAACTTGAACTTGAACTTGAACTTGAACTTGAACTTGAACTTGAACTTGAACTTGAACTTGAACTTGAACTTGAACTTGAACTTGAACTTGAACTTGAACTTGAACTTGAACTTGAACTTGAACTTGAACTTGAACTTGAACTTGAACTTGAACTTGAACTTGAACTTGAACTTGAACTTGAACTTGAACTTGAACTTGAACTTGAACTTGAACTTGAACTTGAACTTGAACTTGAACTTGAACTTGAACTTGAACTTGAACTTGAACTTGAACTTGAACTTGAACTTGAACTTAGAACATGAACTTAAAATTTGAAGTTGAACTTAATTAGGAATATGAACTTGGAACTAATTAGCTTGAATATATAACTAATTAAGTTTAGAAATTAGCTATGAACTTGAATTGAAAACTTGAACTTATTAAAATTTGAATATATATATAACTAATAATCTTGGATTTGAAGTTTATATTTAACTAATTTTAGAACTTTTCGTGTTAGGCAACTAAGGAAGCTCAACATCTAAAAAAGTTGATACAAGACTATATTGCTTCTTTCATCAAAGTAGGAGATAAGGTTAGTGCTTCTAAATTTCTAAAGTTCAAGTACAATTGTTTTCAATAATGTGTTTGTGTCCATCTAGTATTGATACTTAGCTTTAATTTTGCGATAATTTTTTTAACTAGTTCAAGTTAAAAAGTTGTTAAGTTGTTTAAATAAGTTAAATTAATTAATGTGGTTTAGTTGGTGGATTTAGTGTTGTATTAAGTCAAAACTAAACTAGTTCAAGTTAAAAAGTTGTTAAGTTGTTTAAATAAGTTAAATTAATTAATGTGGTTTAGTTGGTGGATTTAGTTGTTGGAATTAAGTCAAAACTAAACTAGTTAATTTTAAAAAGTTGTTAAGTTGTTTAAATAAGTTAAAATAAATAATGTGGTTTAGTTGGTGACTTTAGTTGTTGGAATTAAGTCAAAACTAAACTAGTTCAAGTTAAAAAGTTGTTAAGTTGTTTAAATAAGTTAAATTAATTAATGTGGTTTAGTTGGTGAATTTAGTTATTGGAATTAAGTTAAAACTAAACTAGTTAAAGTTTTTAAGTTGTGTAAAATAAGTTCAAATAAATAATGTGGTTTAATTGGTGGATTTAGTTGTTGGAATTAATTCAACATTAAACTAGTTAAAGTTATTAAGTTGTTTAAATAAGTTAAAATAAAATGTAGTTTAGTTGGTGAATTAATTAGTTGTTGGAATTAAGTCAAAACTAAACTAGTTAAAGTTAAAAAGTTGTTTAAATAAGTTAAAGTAAATAATGTGATTTAGTTGGTGGGTTTAAAAAGTGGAATTAAGTCAAAACTAAACTAGTTAAAGTTAAAAAGTTGTTAAGTTGTTTAAATAAGTTAAAATAAATAATGTGGTTTAGTTGGTGAATTAATTAGCTGGAATTAAGTCAAAACTAAACTAGTTAAAGTAAAAAAGTTATTAAGTTGTTTCGGTGTGAGTGGTTTGACCCATCACATAGAGGCACAAAGGTGGACCATCAACATAATATAATTGAAGTTAAGCACACCAGGAAATACAGAAGTTATGATCCTTTTATTATTTCACAAAATGCTAAACAAGTGTATTACGCTCCATATCCATTACGTAGAGACAAAGCTGATTGGTGGGTTGTTATAAAAAGTAAGTATGTGGGAAGAATTGAAATTGACAATGTCTTAGATGTGGCGTATCAAAATGATGTTGCAATTGTTCAACAACAAGTTGATGTTGAATTGGAAACCACACTACAACATCCTCAACACATATTAGAAGAAGTATCTGATGATGAGACTGAATGTTGAGGAAGAATTATTCGAGAATGAGGAAAATGAATCATTTGATAACGAAGAATGGGACAATAATGAAAATGAAACAACTGAGAAGGAAGAATGGGAGAATGATGGAATTGAAGCAAGCGATTGTTGACACCCAATTTTGACCCTCCCCAATAATAATTAGTTTTTGAGCTTCTTAATTTTCAAACGATTCAGAAAAATTAGTTTTATAAAATTCAAATATTTCTTGAGGTTACTTTAAGTAATTCTAGTCGATTTTATAGTATTTTATAATTATGTGTAATTAGTGTTTCTTAAATATTCGAAAATCGTCCAAAAAAGATTTTAATTTTAGTAAGTACTTTATCAAATTAGTTTAGTTTAGATTATGGCTATAATTTCGATTTATTTAGTTTATAATTAAATTGACTATTTTATTTCGTTAAAGATCGAGAAGCTCGTAAATTAATTATATTAATACGTCTTATTTTGTTGTTAGTCGAATTCGCCAATTTAGTTCAATTCGGCTAAATTTTCAACTTGAATTTGGTTACAATTGTAATTCAATAGTATTAGGTAATTGAAAATATAACCAACACCCATCTTAGCCTCCAATTCTTTTAAGACCCAAATTTGGGCCATTTTGCCAATCCAAATTTGTACCCAGTAGCCCACAATCCCATGTTCTTTGCCAATTTTGCAGCAACACAACAACATACGTACAATACCAAATATACCCAACAAATAGTTGCAATTTTCAAATAACTCCAATCCCATTCAACAACTTCCAGCCAACCTAACCCATTCCCATTCTTCCTATTCCCAATTCTAATTCAAACCACCGACCCAACCAATTAATCCCCTAACCCGGCCCAATCCTAAACCAAATTTAACTTCAACAGCTAGATCAAGCAACAGCAATTAAGCACTGTTCCAACGCCATTTCCAGCCAAGAACCGTCCTTGCAGTTGCGGGATCACGCCACGTGGCCCGCCAAGGACGTTGGAATCGATCCAAGACGTCCATCTCCCATTTTCTCTTTCGGAATAAGGCAAATTTCAGCGAAAATGGTGTTTGTCCGAGTTGGTGAAAGGTTTTTGAGAGTTTGAATTTTGAAATGGGTCTTAAATCCGATTTCATCCTTTCCCTCCCCCCCCCCTAAATATTTTGAATCCTAGTAGTCTCCTATATATATTCTCCTCTTATTCATTGTAAAAAATGGAATTCGGAGTTGGAATTTTTGAGCTGAAAATAGAGAGTAACTTAATATAAAAGAGGGCTAGAAAACAAAGTTTTCTTCGATTCCAGTTTCGGAGAAGGCAAGTCGTTCTTTTGAGTTCGGAATTTTCGCTCGGATCTTCACTTTTCGTGGTGGAAAGATCGTTCTACTTGCTGCTATCCCAAATTTGCTGCACTAAAGAAGGTAACACTCTTCCATTTACCATACTCTTTCCGACTTCGCTGTTCCAATAGGGTGTCTTCAAAATCTTGTTATCTTAATGTATTGCATATGTTCTTGAGTGCATCTCGATCCAGTTCCACACTGATTGAAAGATGGATATTATGTTGGGTTTGTCACTTCTCTGTTCATATGTTCGAGTTTGCTCGTTTCGCTATTCTTCATTTTGAATGTGCATTTGTGAATGTCGAAAATGTCCTAAGTAGAGTTCCTCTTGCGATTTCAGTGGTTTAAGTCTTCGTTTTAAGTCGAGCTTTATGTTGCGAGTTCACGACTTGGTCTATGACTTGAATTATGTCTTTCTGCTCATATATAGATATATACATCTAGCCTGTATGCGATAATTTGATCGAGTTTTCCTATTTTGTCTAAGACCAAGTCTGTCTGTGATACATTAGCGTCCTGTTTTGATGCGTCCTTGGTCCATGTTCAATCGGTGGGTTGGGTTAGGTGTATGTCTTCTAGGCCGCTTTCTTGTCCTCTTTTCTTTTCCAATATGTGTTTGATTATGTGTTGCCTCCATAATAGATTATATGGTAGGAATCAGTGGTTTTATTTGATAGATTTTAATATGAAAGGGACCCGTTCTTCGAAATATCCTCGGCAAATTCCTTATGTTGTAGGGCGTTTACTTAAAGTTCTAAATTTGCTTTGAGGCGTGGCTTACTATGACCCACTTTAGATATAAGGTTTGTCTATTCTATCTCAAAAGTGTGGATTCATAGTACTTAGATCGGACAATATGTTTCAACTCGTTCCAACTAGTTGTTTGTTGTACTTTGATTATATTTGTTCACAACACGTTTGTTTTAGTTATATAAATTAGGAAATTTTGGTATAAATGTTGTCAATTTGATTTTTCTCCTAACCCTCTACCAGATGTCATGGTTGTTGAGTGTATTCATTGAATGTGTATACCGATCTATTACTTCTCAACAATAGAATTGATCTTACTTGAGAAATATTTTAGTACATGTTACCAATTTTGATTTTGCATTATAAGGTTCAGACTTAAAAGAATAGTGTCTATTTTGAAGTCTTTCAAGTTATACTAATTGTTTCTTTCCCATTTTGATGCATGTACCCTTGTGATAAGCACGATGGAACTCTTTCCTTCCACTTGCATCTCCAATGGGCCATTTAGGCCCGAAACTCTTCTCGAATCGTCCTTTTCGGTGTCAAGTTCGAAATCACAAGTTTATACATGGAAAACAGGAGCTGGAAATCGAAAATGTGCCCTAGAAAGCTAAAATCAGGCTGAAAAACGGCATGTATACACTGATATACCTATTGTATACATTGGTATACAGTCGAAAAATACAAAATACAGGGTCAAATACGGGAAAGCAGGCGAAAAATGCAGAATATACAAAGTCCGAATAAAACTACAGGTCCGGGAGTCCGAGAATTAGCGGTATACATGGTGTATACCTCAAATATACACTTGGTGTCTATCATGACCCATGGAGATGGGAAAAAGGCCAAAAGCCCAATAAATTGTTGTTTTTTTTTTTTTGCAGAGTTGAGAATTTGGGTTGGCCCGAATTCAATTGTCTTCCCTTAGCTCCCATGTATTTTATTGTATTTGACTAACGCTTTGATTATCTTATGATTTAATTTAATTAAATTCCCCAAGAATGGTCATTTCATTTTATTTTCGAATTAAAGTATACATATTTTATTACTTGTTTTTTCTTATTTAAAAATTAGTCTTGTTGACATTTTATGAACTATTCCCCTTTAGAAAATTCTCATTTAGTTCATTCCCCCTTAAGATGAATAAAATGATAGAAATAGTAGTAGTAATAAAATAATAAGTCAAAATAAATGAGTTATGTACTTAGTTAAAATTTCAAAATTAGTTAAAATAAATGAGTTCTTTACCTATTTATAATTCCAACAATTAGTCAAAATAAATGAGTTCTTTTACTTAGTTAAATTTTCAAAATTAGTCAAGATCATTTTTGGTCAAATCGCCGGTCAACCGCGAGTTAGCGGGCATTCCGAGGACCTAACACCTTCTCGAAATGTACATTGAACATCGAACCCTTTTATTTTCAATTGATTTTATCTGTTTAAATCTTTTGAAAACCTTAAGTTTTTTTATTGATTTTTACTAAAAATTAAGTGGCGACTCCGTCCTTTCGGAAATTCGATTTCTCTTAAACCATAAGTTTAATCGATTTTTTGAAAACTCAGTCATTTTTCTTTTATATATTTTTAAAGTAAAACAGCGATAAGGAATAGTGTAGAATGAAAGCTAGCTAGTATATATATGTAAGTTAGTGTATTTTGCTATTTTTATTTAATTTATGATTTTTTATATATATTATACATGTAAATTTGCATACAGATGTCATCAGGCGGTGATGGTGAAAGACATCGCGAGCATCTTGGAGTTAGCCAGACTAAACAGGCTAAGAAAAAGAAGTCTAGGAGACCCATAGATCCTGAGGATATTGCAGGATCTATTTCTTCTTCTCCAGAGCGCATCAGCTGTGATACTCATTTATTTGTTGTTCCATTTGGTACGGCGGATCTTCGGTAATATTATCCTAATTACCGTCGACCAGCCGATTCTTCCTCTACTTCACATGTATTGCCTTCATGATACTACGAGGACCTACCTTTACAGGCTATTCGTCGAGCACGACCCTTATCGGCAGGTACTCCATCTCCCACAGGTACATCTCCTCAGTTATCTACCATAAGGATTGGAGATTCTAGTAGCGGGCAGTCAGATGTTGTGGTCGGTACGCCTCCATTGACTCAACGTTTTGTGCATCCTGATGTATCACCCTCGTCTACAGCTACACCTAATGCTACACCAGATGATATGATGCCTCCTCTAGCTGCTGGCCAGAAAGACAGACTTGGTAGTCATGATTGAGCCAGATGGATCATCGTAAGTTTGTTAGTTTATTTTATTTATTTCTTATACTTTAATAAATTATTCATGAACTAACATATTTATTATGTGTTTTGCAGGTGGCATCCTGCAAAGGATGCTGCCCAGGCTTTAAAAGACTGTGTTAGAAGACTCTATACACATGCTTATCATTCTTGGAGCGAGATTCCAAACAGTATACGCCAGACGATGTTTAATAACTTTAATGTATATAATTTTTAGTTAAGTTTAGTATACTTTACTTTTTTTTACTATCAATCTAATTAACGTTATTCAAATTTTTTTCAGACTATTTGAACTTGGGAGTCGAGGCACAATTGGGTCATTACGACCACATTTGAGAGGAAAACATCCTCCAGACTGTCTGTCTGGCTAAAGAAAGTTTGGGATACTGCTGAACGTTTGGATTGGATGTTGCCTCATGTTTTTGATGAATTGGGGTCTGTATTGGAACACAGACAAATTTAAGGCAATATCTGAACAAGCCAAAAAGGCTAGAGGGAGTCTTAAGGTTGGCTCGTTGCACATCGAAGGTGCAAAGAGCGTTGGCACAATTGCAAGAGAGATGGTAAGTTCTAATTCAAACTTGTAAATAAATAATTAGTTGTTTCATATATATCGTTATAACTTTTAGTTTTTATTTATAGGAAAAAGAATTGGGACTGTTGACACCCAATTTTGACCCTCCCCGATGATAATCAATTTCCAAATTTCTTAATTTCTCAAACAATCTAGAATAATTAATTTTATAAAATTAAATAGTTTCATGGTTATTTTAAGTAATTTTATTCGATTTTCATAATATTTTGGATAATAAATATATATCATAAATTATATATGCAATTATTATATCTTATCAATATTTGAAAATCATCTCAAAAAGATTTCGCATTGTAAGTCGAATGTTTTTTAATTTAGTTTAATTTCAATTATGAATACAATTAGTTTCTATTCTAGATTAATTACTTTATAATCGAGTTTATTATTTTATTTCGTTGAAATTAAGAAGCTCTTTAGTTGATTATATTAGTTCGTCCTATTTTAAGTTTAAGCCAGATTCACAAGTTAGACTCAATTTGGTTAATAAGTTGGCTAATTTTATATCATTTGGCCAAGTCTTAAATCCAAATCTAGCCTTTTATTTACCGTTACCTTTAAATCCTAAAGCACCAAATTTGGGCCCTTTTAATTCTAGCAGCCCTTAGCCTCAAGACCAGCCCAATTCCCACTCCCTTCACATTAACAATACAATACATACACCAACCGACCCATTCTAATAAAATAATAACAACAACAGCATACACCAAACCGACCCCATCCCCTTTCCTTTTCAATTCTACGTTATCAAATAGCAGCCCGAATGCAGCAATACCAAGCTGCCAGCCCAAAACATTACAGCAGTCCACACTCCTTGAACTGACCCAGCCCACAAAACATACAATACAAACAATAATTCCCAGCAGTCCAAACACATACGTACAGCAGTAGCAGAATGACCCCACCCCTATGTTTTTCTCTTCTTTTCCGCGTGAACACTGCAAAAACCAAAAACGTCAACAACAGCTGTCCTCACCAAACCGTTCCAGCAGCTTCCACAACCTTTCTCTGCAACAGCCGCCCATCTCGATCTCGTCATCCGAATTTCGTGGGATTCGGTTGAAATATCGCACAAACCAGCCTTTTTCTTGGTCCTTGGGAAGTTTTGAATTTTGGAGTTCGTGGGGAATCTCAATTTTTCCCTTTTTCTTATTCAAAGTCCCTTTCGTTTTCCCCCTCAAAAGGAACCCGAATTTTCCCCTATAAATACATTTTTTCTTGTCATTTTTAGGGGTTGGGTTTTTGGTTGAAAACTTTTAGAGAAAAAGGTTTGAAAACAATTAGCTGCAATATATATAGAAATACATTTCAAAGAAAACCAGAGGAGTTACTTATTTTTCTTTAGTGTTTGGGTTGATATTTTCGCTCAAGCATCTTGCTTGTTGTTTGTGTTCGATTCCTAACATAGTAAGGTGTCGTTCTGCTCGTGATATTTGTTCGCCGCATTTCGAAAGGTAGCATTCCTTCATTATGTTCCTTCCACCTTTTCTTCTACTTTAGAGCAACATTCTGTTTTGTTTAGGTGGTTGTTGGTTGTTGGCTGCCGTTAATTTAATGTATGAATCATATGTTTTCTCTTTCGTTTGTTGCCACGGAGTAGGCATAATGTCCTTTTAAGGTTTTGCTAAATTTTACCTCGTATAGTCATTTCATATTTCTTTGTTCGAGTATATTTTGATGTTCCCATTTCTCAAAAACTGTTACTTGAATATTTTTTTTTATCAATGTTATTTTGTGTATGTCTTGTTAAGCGTAGGCGTGTTGTGTTTAAAGTTGTCGCCTTTTGATGTTAGTATTCATGTAAACTTAAGTTCTCGAATCAACTAATACGGTACACACACACACATACATATATATATATATATATATATCGATGGCGCAATCGTGCATTTGTTCTAATCGTTTAATTTTTATCTATTCCTTGAATGTCTTTGTTGTCCTATTGTCTAATACAACTTGTTTAAATCGAGTTTATATCTTCCTGCTATTCAAATTCTAAGTCGAAAATGCTTATGTTTGCAAGTTGAATCGGTGCAAAATCTGAGTTTCTTGTCTTATGTTTCAGATTTGAAATTTTGTTAGAATTTAGTCATTAAGGTTATTGGGAGCATGATCTTTTGTGATGTTAGTCTTTCACTATGACATGAGAATTTTTAAATTCTAATATTAATTCGTCATGGTTTTGTTGGGTTTTATTGTGTGCATATTCTAAATAGTTCATTTAATATATGTCGAAATGAGAGCAAGCATGAAACTAAGAATCGGCAGAGACTAAGAATAGATTTGTTCATAATGTGTATGCCATTTATATCTACAGTTTCTGGTTTTCATTTTTAGTTTTGATTTTCTTGATGGAATAATGCATTTGATATACTTTTGCTCTTTTAAAAGAGTTAACAATATTCGTGAATGGGCATTAAAACAACGTCCACTATTTCCTCTCCTTGTGGCTAATAAGGAGTATTTGTTAAAGTCATTTGGATTGATTAGTTAGTTCCATAATCTATTTGATGAGTAATCTGTTGTGTTGATTTATCAATCGTCTTACACTTTTATTTTAATAATAAATAAATAAAGATGTGATACGGTATTTTATCCTATGTTAATGTAATTTTCTTTCTTTGGTATGTAAAAATTTGCCCGAGTCCTCACGGACTCCGTTTTATCCCTGCATTTCGAGAGAGTCGTAAACACTCAAACTCCTTTATTCGAGTCAGTCAAGCCGCAAAAGCCGATGAACAAGGTTGAAGGAATTCGATGTCGAGGAGAATTGAAAGATTGGGCCAAAGGCCCACTCTTTATATAAAAAGATATTGTATTTTGTTATTTTGGGCCTAAGTCCTTATAATTTCATTTATTACTATCTTGTTAGAATTTAGGGCAGGTGGAAGATGGGCCTTAGGCCCCAAAGAAATAAAATTCAATTTAGTCTATGACAGGTACAAAGGTGGCAAAAATTGGGACTTTTGCCCAAAACGAAATAGGCCCAAATACTGGTCCAGGCGGACAGAAACCAGTTTGGGCCTAACTCTCTTTCCTTCTCTACTTTACTGTGTTCATTTTACTTGTTAGTGTTTGCCGCTAATTTTAAGGTTGAACAATTCGAATCCCCGTAAGACGCACGCTGTGTTTTATCAATTTAGCTAAAATCGATCATCCTTAACAAGACTTAAAGAAGAAGTTTTGTAAAATTAGCCCACTTAGATAATATTTAAGTACTTCCCTTTTTCCCCTTTAAAATAGTTCTAACTATAAAAACAACTCAATTTTGCAATTCAAGCTAAGTTAAGATTATTTTTAGCCAAATAATTAATCGCCGGATAACCGCGTATTAACGGGCATTTTGGGTGCTTTAAACCCCTTCCCAAAATGCTAATAAGAACCTCGAACCCTTTGTATATTTTCAATTGATTTCTATTTTAATCTGTTGAAAAAATAGTTTTCTTGATTTTTCTTAAAAATTAAGTGGCGACTCATTAAACCAGTCTAATAATATGTTTTAAATAAAACAGGGACGCACTCTCATTGAACCGGAGGTTTTCAAGAAGACTCATGTTAGGAAGAAAGAAAATGAGTTGGATCCGGATGTGTGGGTGGAGGAAAGGGTCGAACGGACTTTTGTAAGTTATTTTATATGAATAATATATATTAATAGTGAATATAATTATGATATGTATATATATTGATGTCAATTTTTATATTTAATATGCAGAATGACTTTCATCAGTACGTCGCTGAGAATCTTGATAGTTCGGTCCAATTGACACCTGAACTGTCCACGGGTAGGGGGAACACACAAGGGTAGATGATATGGTCTAGGATCTCGAAATTATGTAAGACGACTCCAGTCAGGCTTAGAAGGTATTGGATCGTCAAGTCAAGCCGAAGCACTTGACGGTGTTCAGATTGTTGTTATGTCGGCTCAAATAGCATAATTTACATCGGCACTAGCAGCGCAGCGTCGGAGCGGAGAAGAGAAGCTGAACAACGAAGCATGAGCGAGACCGTTCAGCAAATCAAAGAACAAGTGATGAACCTCGCTCGTCGACCTACTACTTCGGCTCCCGAGGACACCAACAATGACAGTGATGATGAGGATGATTATGTAGAACCCACTCCCTAGTTTAGATCTCTGGACATTTATGAATTTTTTTAAATTTTGAAACGAATCTTGAAAGATTTTATAAGACTTAAAATTTTGATTTAGATACTTTTGAATGTTATTTTAAGTTTGTTGTTTCATGTTTTGTGTAGATTGTTTATAATTGTGTGTGTTTGATTGGGTTGAATAGTGTAGAATTGAATTAAATTGAATTTGCTGTCAAAAAAATTGCAGAAAAAGCGACGGACTACGTCGCATTTTAGAAATTAAAAAAAAATGAAAATTAAAATATAGCGACGGAGTCCGTCGCTTTTGTTAAAATAAATTCTAAAAAAAAAAACTCAAAAAACAATGAAATCTGTAGCTTTTTGAAAAGTGTTGAGCTAAAAAGCGACGGAAGTGACTGCATCGCTTTTCCGTCGATTTTCACCAAAAAAGCGACGCAGTCCGTTGCTTTTGGCCGTCGTTTTTTGGCAGTTTTTTAGTAGTGACTATTGGGAGTGTAAGTTTTAAACATAAACTATTACTTATTAGTTTGAGAAACACACGTCCGTAATGTATGTAATATACTCTCTCTTTTATTTGTAAAAATCTTGTCACATGACATTTCACATAGATAAAATATATAAACTATTGATATTAATTAAAAACTAAATGTTAAAGTATTACTTTCCCAAAAAACTAAAAATAAAAATATTTTTCTCACTCCATCCCACCATCTCACCCCCCCTCCCCGCCCAAACCCTGTCCCTTAATTTTTTTAATTCATTTATAGAAATATTTTTAAAAATTCAAACTCCACCCCATTCCTGCTCCTTCCTAAAATAAATTGATATTATTTTTTTTTAAAAATTAAAATAAAATTCTACCCACCCCGTCGAACCCTCCACTCCAAGTTTATTTTTATTTTTTTGTTTTGTGTTAGATGTGTACATATATTTTAGGAAAATATTTTTTTGCTTGTGTATCTAATATAAAAAAAATTAAAATTTTATTTTAAAAAAATCTTGTGACAAGTAATATATTTATATATATCGAATTATAAATGAGAAAAAAATTGAAAGCGGAGAGCTATGAGGGGTGGGATAGAATTTTTTTTGAAAAAATTAAAATAATATCTAAATTATTAATTGAAGGGATTAGGAGGGGGGATATGAAGTAAGAATTTTCTTAAAACTTTTATAAAAAAATTGGGATAGGGGAGTACCATGAGAGGAAGGGGTGGAGTGGGGTAAGAAAAATATTATAGATTTTATTTCATAATTTCTTTGGGGGGGGGGGGGGGGGGGGGCGGGGCGGAAGAAGTGACACTTTAATCTTTAACTTTAACTAATACTAATAATTTATTTAAATTTTGTCAATGTGAAATGTTTTGTTCATGTGTAGTAATTTGACAATTTTAAAAAATAAAAGAAAGAGTGTATTACACAAATCATGATGAAATTATAATAAAAGAAAGAGACGTGTTTTTGACTCTTATCTCTTAATATAATTATGAATTAAGTTTCTCATTATAACTTCTAGCAAACAATTGAGAAAAATAATTTATAGATGATAGAGATTCTAAGAATAGCCTCTGAACGAAGAATAGTCATAATTAAATACTTTGTTGATTTTAAGGAGATTTATAATTCTAAATAAACATTTTACTAGTTTTAAGGAGAAATGGTTGAAAGTTAGAAGAGAAAGCAGATATTTTTTATATTTTAAATAAAAACAATTTAATAAGAGATGGGTGTGAATAGGGGTGTACATAGGTCGGTTTGGTTTGATTTTTCATTAAAAAAATATAAACCAATTATGTCGGTTTATTAAATCTAAAAACCAAATCAAACCACATAAAGTCGGGTTTTTCGATTTCGGCTTTAGTCGATTTTTTCGGTTTTTTACAACTATACGGTGTTTGAAAAAGAGATCAAACATATTTTCACTTACATGTGTGATAAGTTAAACTTTAAAAATGTTAAATTAATAGAAATCTTCGAAAAGAAGATAAAATTTACATGAGTAGAAAATATTTTTTTTTGAAATATCAACATTCAGTATGTTAAATTAATAATATCAAAGGCTACAATCAAACTGAATACAAAACAAAATATTTACAAAGTAAATTGTTAACTTCGAATTTGAAAAACTATAACAATATTATTGTAATTTCTGATCTTAGTACAAAATAAAATATTTACAAAATTTTACAAGCCCAAATTTTGAAATAATATATATAAACGTTGAAAACTATAAACTAACTAAAAAATATATTAACAAAGTAGATTATAAATAATTTTTTATCTATAAATAAAATAAAATTATATATTCATATTATGTCGGTTTGGTTTGGGTTTGATTTGACTTTTTTTCTTTGAATACCAAACCAAATCAAGAGTGGTCGGTTTTTTTTTCCAACGCCAAACCAACCAAATCAAACCACAAGTCGGTTTTTTTCCTCGGTTTGATTTGATTCGTCAGTTCAATTTGACTTTACGGGTTGGCTTGTACACCCTAGGTGTGAGTAGGAATTTTCTTGAAAAAACTACATAAATAGGCCACAAAATATAAAATAGAGAAAACATTTAAAAAAAAAAAAAAACTCCTAAATTTGGGAGTACCAACTTATTTTAGCAACTAAACTACGCGGGTGTTTAAATACCCCCTTAATATCTTAAGTGATTTAAACCCCCCCTAAGGGATTACGTGGCAGAGAGAGTCAGTGTACCTCCTAAAAGCGCAAGAAAAGGAAAAAAAAGCCTGAATTTTGTAAAGTCCTAAACATGTCTTTTTTTATTGGTAATATATAACTAATATTATAAATTAATTTTTTATATATAACTCTTTAAAAAAATATGTAAGTTTTCTTATTTAGAAGTAAATGAAATTTTGGGTCCCCTTTTAAATTTCTTTTTAAAAAAATTCTTTTCATTTTGTTGTCTTCCTCAATACACCTCTTTCTCCATTGAAGCACCTCCTCCTCCATCTTCATCGCCATCTCTATCCACTATTTTCATTTCACTAGTCTTTTAATAATTCGTAAAATTCAATGCCAATGTCATTTTATTAACGTCGATTTCGCTCTATATTCTTGATGTCGATTTTGCAAATGTAAACTTTCTTGAATTTTGAGTAACCCATTTTGATTTCTAGATCCATTCAAACTTTTCTCATAGAATTTATATTATTATTTTTTTATCAACTTTCTTATGCAATCCAATACAATATATATATATATATATATATATATTATTGTGTGTGCTGATTTAGTATCAATTAAATGAAATCATCATTCGGGGCATCTATTATAATTATTTAGAGCGACATCAATGTACAGGGTATATATTTGTAATTAAATTGTATTTATGGGACATTTGCTTAGTTTTCGGGAGAATAGATGTATGACTATTAAATGTCAATTCTTTTTGGATTTTATTTGCTAAATATTTATTTGACCATTAAATGTCAATTCTTTTAGGATTTTATTTGCTAAATATTTATTTGACCAACACGTGTCAATTTAATCTAAGAGTTAAGTATACATAGGGGTGTTCATGGTTTGGATAAAAACCGATTCAAACCGAAAAATCAAACCAAACCGATAAAATAAAACCGAT